TTCTTTTTCACAATCCTTGATTGTTATGTTACATCATATGTGCGTGTCCATTCGTCGGGAGGTTGTTTACACCACTCACATGAAATGTTTGTTGGTTAAGGTTTGTTGCTTATATCGCGCAGCGATTCCCCTTGTGCGGAAATCTCTCAACTGTTAGCCGGGATGGCTAAAATTTTTTTTAAAAGAGGGGGGGGGGTAATAACACAATGGGGCCAAGCTGGAGTACGAGTGGACTCGTATCTATGGGAAAGATCTAGAATAGGGGCGTGGCCACGAAGGGTTGATAGGGCGCATGCGCGGGAGATTCGGGGGCTTCTGGGGTAGGGACCAGGGCTGATGGAATGGGGGCATCTGGTTCCCTGAAAATAAAGATTTCCCCTGACAAGTTCGTCGGGCGTCGCTCATTACATGAAAGAATTAGCATGTTCTGTTTACGTGACAAACCACACTAAATTGGTTGTGTTGGTGGTGGTCGGTCTAGCGACACATTTGTATTTACACGATCCAACCCAAAAACCCCATTTATTATGGATATTATGAATTAATGTGTAGCTACCGAACTGGACATATGCTCTAGAGTTCGGAAGTGCTACATATGCATGGTCTTCAATTCCTTGCAAAAGGTTTCTATTTGGTTTTTCTCCATCTTAGCATAAAGGGTAAAACATTCTTATTTTTTTCTTCATACTTTGATACTGGCAAAAAGGTCCAATTCTGCACTCCCACCCCTACTCATGTAGGCCTCGTATCGCGACAAATATATGTGTACTTGCTTAGACGGTAATACCGGCAATGGCAAAAACAAACTAAATAGACTCGTGTTTACCGAGATAACGTTTTACCTTGCGTCTATTTAGTGAGCCAATAGCTAGCCTATCGATTACCTAGTTGTAGTGTTTAGTCTAGATTTTATGCAGTGATACATTGTCAAAGGAGTATCACAGCAGCACCATCGACTGGAAATGCCTGATAATAGATTGGAGTTCAGTACGAGTGATAGTAGATCCGTCCCAATGACCATGTCGGTTCAAGTGGAGCGCAGTATATTGTTATACCGTCAGTTAGTAGATCTTGCCGACCCACCCATACTGGTAATCTGTGAAAGAGCTTTATAACTCAAATTCCTCCAGTCTAAAATATTCGGATTCCAAGACATTCATTTCAGCACTCTGTGCAGTGTCAAGTGTCAGATCTTTGTACAATTGTAACAGTGTTATTGGGTCAAGATGCACAGTTCCCATGCAGTAGCTGGGAATATCGGCTTCATGCCAATAGGGGGCAACAGAGGGGCTGTGCCCCAGTGCTGAGAGTCTATGGGCCATAGGGTGCAACGGTTACCCTATGGAACAGGATGTAAAAGGGGCAGACTCCAGACCCCAGGAGGGGGGCTAGGGGATGACATCATCCCCAGATCCTTCGAAGGTTCGAGAAGGTGTGGTTAGGGCAGAGCGAGCCACGGCTCTGTATAAAAGCCGTACCTCTGGATGGTCCTGGCAGTCACCATCCAGCTGAAGACAAGCCTCCTGAAGACTGAAGAGCCCCAAGGGCAGGGCCGTACCCATAGCAAGGATCAGCTCCAGCTTATATACCAGTGAAGAGTCAAGCTTCACTCATGGAGGACTTGTAGATTAGCCAGCAAGAGGCATAGTAGTCTGGAGAGTAACCTCTATAGCATATTGGGTGTGAGGGGCCGTTACACCTCCGTGTTAAGTGCGGATTGTTCAATAAAAACTTGCCTCAAAGCCTTCTAGTTATCCAACCCACTACAAAATGTTAGTAACAGCAGATATCCGTAGTGGAGGTTTTTTGGGTTAGATTGCAATCCGACCTAAAAAACTTATGGATGACATTGGTCGCTAAAGCCTACGTGTTAAACTATCCGTAATGTGTCGGTAACAGTAAATCACCTGGAAGCCTACCCCCAGTGCAATTCAGCTTTGCAACCTTGTCACCTCTGCAACCTGTACGAGCCCAGGAGATCTTCACAACCTTGCTTGGCTTGTGACGAGACCTGCAAGTCTTGAGACCTCTGCAGGCCTGGTCAACCCCGTCTGCAACCTGTGTGGGTGTTTTGTTGCAACCTACGCACATTGCTCTGCTTGTTGCAAGACCTGCAAGTCTGACCTATGAGCTTGCAACGTTGGCAGCCATAATGGCCAGTGTCCGAGACTTCAGCCTAGACTCACCCCTACTTTCATGGCGCACGAGTGGAGTATAATCACTAGATAGACGGTCAAGTTAGAACAGGATTAACACCAATCGAGTTCTACCTTTAACAATCTTATATTAAGGCTTTCATTAAAGCAACGTTGATAGGTTAAGAACATACAAATAAACGGTTTCAATCACGACAAGCAATTGCCATCAGGAGAAAAAAAACTATTGCTTGTGCTGCAATTGAAATGTCATAGTTTGTTACTTTTGTTTTCTTTGAACCTATTTACACTTTACTGAAAGACCCAAGAAGGAATTCCTTCACTCATGAAAGCTTTAAGTCAAGATTTAACCATCTTGTTTGTTATGCATTGTGCACTTGCCCAGAAACCCTCGGAAATAATGTCATGATACCTCATGTTCTCCGATTAATCTTCACTTTGTACGTTGAATCTGGTTACCTTGATAGAACTGTGATGCAAAGGACAAAGGTAAGCAAGGCATTGGTCGTTTAACTTGTGCTCGTTTATTTTACACTGCTTCCAACCCCCCTTAAAAAGGTTTGGGCCTTTAGTTTCATTTTTATATCGTTGGAGGCAATAGCCAAACACTACCCTCAGGATTGGCAAGCATGTAGCACCTTCCTCTCCAATTCTCAAAATCTTACTAGTGATAATCTGCAACCACGTCTAAATCACCTGCATCATTGTTCTATTACCTTGGTCTAGATGGGAATGTCAGGGTAGGTGTACATCCTTTTGTAACGGAAGTTGCACATTTGTCAAAGGATCCATAGTATAAAAGGTCAGTTTGTGCCAGCTAAAAGGGTAAAAACCTATTACTAGGATCCAGTGTTTGACCGTGTGCAAGTTAAGATCTCTCCATGTGTAGCCACAGCGCCGACTGCTGTACAGCAGCAGGTGTGCACTTAGCGCACACGCCGTTCAGCACACGGTGTGTGCCTGCAGGGCAGAGGAACTGGGGCAAGGGTCACAGTAGACATCGTGGCAAGGCCCCTGCAACCCTCTGGTGGGTTCGAGAAGGGAGGCGTGGCTAGGGCAGAGCCAAGCCAAGGGGAACATAAGCAGCAGAGAGTGACGGCCCCCGGGCTGTCGGTTCCAGGAGTGGACTCCTCCCGTCGTTGCCGTCACCCGTTCATTGCGCGGCCGGACAGTAGTTGGCTGTCCCGGTCGACGCAACGTGGGCAGGGTCGTATCGAGGCCAGGCCGTACGGGTCGCGAGAGGGGGCCGGAGTGGGTGGGATGAATCTAAAGACGGTGCCTCCAACTACCTAGTCTTTAACTGTGTGCACTGCACACCACCCACAGAGGGAAAAGCAAAGGGCTAAGACACTACATTTATTGCATACAAAGCTGGTCATTGAGATCTGTACAGAGCTTGGTCACAATGCTCAAAAGTAGGTACAACGCAAAAGCAAGCAGCAGTTCCAAATACCAGTGCAGACCCTCAAGGCAGACTCCGTTAGAGCTTGAGCCAGAGTAGGATTTTAGCTCTGCCTGTAAAGTGAAGGCAATTGCAAGCGCAGCAGCTACTGTAAATTAAAACAGGTACCATTAAATGGCTCTTTAGCAAAGAAGTGGACTGCATCCAAATAAGCAAGCTCTTGCACAAATTGAAACAGCTGTTCAAAGCCAGTTAAAAGGGCTCGTCCAGCCTCTAGCTACACCAATTAGGAATGTATTAGGAATGTATTTCAGTGCCCGATTTGGTTAAAACATAAGCAGAGCATGTTAAATGCCCAACCTCCATGGTGTGAAGGTAACCCAGAAGTTGAAAATACAACCTAGCCCATTTCCATCAACTTTTTTAAAACTGGATTGAGAAGGCGGGGGGGGGGGGGGGGGGGGGGCGATGTTTTGGCATTCATGGTCCGATTAGATTAAGTCATTAACTGAAGAAAAAGAAAAGCTTATAGCAACTGAAAAGACACATTGCAAAATATGCATGCTGCAATAGCCAAAGGGAGAATTGGACCAGAATATGGATGTCCAATGGGGGGTGGAGAACTAGGAGTCTGCAAGAGCTGGAAAGCCACATTTAAATATTCATGAATAACACATTCCTGCGGAGCTGGTAGGAACGTTGGGTTGCTCGGTCAATGGCCAGGGTCAAGGGCAGCGTGGTGCATTCCGCAAATATGCCTGACTGAGGGCAGGCACAAGTCAGCGTGAGTAGGTTAAATGTTGAGTTTTATAAGGGCACCACAGGGTGACCAGCCCCTCCCCACCCAGCCTCACCTCTCCCACGTGGACAGACATCCAGACAATTAATCACCTGCCTCCTGTGAATTAATCCAGGTTGGGCTTCCAGTCCACTACGTTTCCTACCAGTAAAAGAATTTCACATAAGTAATTACCAGAAACAGTAACAAGCAGACAAGCACAAAAAAATCTGATTGAAACAGTGGGTTTGTGTAGGACTTTGCTGGAAAAGGGAAGATGTCCAATAGTTAAGACTGGTGCCAAGGGCAAAAAGGAGAGCGCTCCCAAGATGACCATTGGTAGAGTGAGGCGATCAACTTGCAGGGCTAACATTTGGTAGTGTAATCCCAGGACTTGAAGTATGGCAACTGCACATGAAGGCCCAAGGTTAGTGGATTGACCACAAATATTGGTCTTGGAATTGTCAGCGCATGGCGTTTTTGCCCACCTCGTAAAGTTATATTTTTGAGGCTACTGCAAAAATACGAATTACATTTTTTGCAGCATATCTCTAAAGCAAAAATGTCAAGCAGTTGCTACTAGTCCGTATGGTAGTTAGGAAGCCATTTCCAGCATTTATCATTGAATGTGTAAATGTTAAATACACAGGCAAGGGTCATTTGATGCAGTATACAACCTTTATTGCCACATTTCCAAACAGTCCATGCATTTACAAGAAATAATGTTGACGTACGTGTAAATTTTGGATTCTGTCATACAATGCAAAACCAATTTCATCTGCTCGGTGATCGATGGACGGCAGCAACTGCAGGAGGCCTGCAGTTCTCCAGATTCAATGTCAACTCTGTTAAGATAAAAAAATGAAATTAATCATTATTATTTACAAGCGTCAACTGTTTTACATGGAACTATTGCACTTGCTGAAATAATATTGTATTGTGTATTGGATCGGGTACATTGTTGGCGAATGGGTCCTCGCAACGTTAATGTGATTCTACCGGTGTTTCCAGTATAAAAGCATTAGGAATTGCCTAGTTTTAAAATTGTTTAATTTACATCAAAGATTGAGCAAGTTGCCTAGGGGTTAAACGAGTACGTTTGACAAGTCGGCAGTAATCCTAAAAAGCCTGGTTCATTATAGGAATGCAGAATTTACCACTGGTTGTGGAAAAGGAGCCGATTTACAGAAATAGGGGAAGCTTTAGCTTGGCCCAAAAAATTACTGGAACAATTTTTGGGCTGTGGAGAATTGGTTTACTTTTTTGTAAAAGGTCAGATTGGCAAGTCCCGTATCCCAGAAGGAATAATCTGATTTGCTTTGTTTTTTTACCATGGCGCTTATCAAGAATTTTTAAAAAGTGCCCCCCCCCCCCCCCCCCCCCCCCCAGAATGTTGTTTACCTCTTCCACCCTCCATATATTATAAGTCCCCCCCATCCCGATTTGGTCATCAGCCTTGATTCTACCTACGTATGGTTCTGAAGCGCTGAAAGCCCCCGCCCCTCCGGCCACCGCAGTTTGTCCCCCTACCGAAACTGATGTGTTGTGCTAGTCCCAAAACATGATTTTTGTCCGTTGTACCAAAATCAGGACCATTGCGATGGAGTGTTGTTGCCCACATTTTGAAAAGTGTGATAATACACCTGACAAGGATGTTGAAAAGCGTTTGCCTACTTAAAAATCGTATAGCATTTGTCCAGAAGCTACGTGCTAAAATGAACCAAATGTAAAACACCAACCCTTTGATCACTCACATCGTTGTTGTTTGACAGGTTCCCTCACAAAAAGACGTGGTGAAGTTTTTTGGTTGACAACCCGGCACATCTTTCACAGTGGTCTCTTCAAACATCCGACAGGACGAATTTTGGAGTGCTGAACAAAAAGTCAAAGATAAAAATCTGTTACAAATTTTTTTTTTTTAGGTTTGCATACTGTGTAAGTGAAAAGAAAAGGAGAATCTTACAGCAACTTGAACAGCAGCCATAGTCATCCTTTGTCACGGTTCCCTGAAAATATGAACACCAGTTTGAAATGCATCAAGTTACTTCCAGCCAGGAGTCATCATTTGAAAATCAACGAGCCTACATCCCAGGCATGACCTGCAAATCTACCTGTGGTTTAAAGGACAATTGGCCAACATGGTCAATTTAGTCTTTTCTAGACAGTATTGCTAAAAAAGAGATGTGCTTGTGTATCACTGCTAACGTAACGTTTGATCCATCAGTGGACTTGACAAAAAACATTGCCTTCCAGTGCAAGCTTAAAAGTCCAACACCATTAGATGCTTGACAAAATGTTCTGAAACCATTGCAAATATGAAGATTTAAAAAAGTGTAATATTTTATGCTTTGTGATTATACGAATCAAAACTTCGTAATGCATTGCTGCAAAAAAGGCAGTGTCCATGGGAATTAAAAGATACTTACAGGTTGACACGAGTTGACATTAAAGGCTGCACTACAAAAGATCCTCGTCTCGACAACAGAAGCTTGTCCCAAAGAACTGTTGCATGTAAAGAGTGTGCAGTTATCACCTGGCTTGGTCCAATTGGCACCAATCTAAAAAGAACACCGTAAAAAAAGGTGTTGGACACCCAATTTATAGCTTCTATTAACACGCCTTTGGGAATACATCATGTAGCTGGAAAATCGAGCCATAAATATAATTCTAGGTTTTACATAACATTTAGTCTTTGGGAATGCACTGCTGGGAAGCCTCCCATCACACCATGTGGTTGAGGGAGTTGTGCAACCACAATGCTGGTTCGTGGGTTTTGAAATGTGGGGCGCAAAGATATTGTAACCCGGAAGTAAATGGATAATTAGGATGCTAGACTGCCTTCCTGCCCAGTGCACGTTTAGGACATGCCAACAATTGCAATAGATAGTTCACACATGAAAACAGAAGTGCTTCAACATCGAGATGCATTAAGGAAATTTACATTTTTGAAAGTGTACTGGATAGGCACATTTAGGTTGAATAAAGCTATTTTGTAGTACATAAGCACACCACATGTTTTAATGCATGTGTCTGTTAGCATTATCGTATTTTTCCCGCATTACACAACTCGCAGACGCATTTACCCTGCAAAGTGTTTAAAACAAATTTCAGATCGCCCGCACCTCCATATATCGCACATGCATTCATAGCTTTAACGTCATTACCGCAGCTTAATGCCATTAATATTCCACTATCAATTGTTAACATTAAAATCATAACGTGCATAAAGAAAACACAGCAGGAAATGAGCGAACTTAACAGTAAATATTCAATAAACAAACACGTAACTGGTAGATAGTTTTAGTACTGGTAGATTGCGCATTGCACAGACAATAGCTGCACTACGGTGACGCCATTGTCTCGCCCCCCCAAATCCCACCTCGCCCCCCAGCTGCCGGTAAACAAAGTGCCCACTTCAAACAGTCGTTTGATTGTACAAACAACTCGAATAATTTAAAACGTGATCGTGTAATTTTAGTGCGAGTGGTTTATGCAGCAGTGCTTTAGTCAAAAGTAAGTGTTGCATAGTGAAGTCCTACCATGAAAAAAAGTTCTGCCACACGTAAAATATTTTTGGGCTAGCCCGCACCTCCATATACCCCGCAGGGTCTTGTTTTGTAAAAAGTGGTATACCCCACAGGTTAAGTGGGAAAATATAGTAGCGTTAACAGGTGTCCACTCGCCAGGATGTCATGGAGGATCTTTTGTGCCATTTGAATTTCCAAATCAAAGTCAAAAGACTTAAAGGCACATTCAAAAGCCAAAGCTTTGAGATTGGTTCAGCTTTTAACCAGCACTAGGTTCTTTCCCACGTCCATATGTACAAAAGCTTTACAAATAGGGTGGACGGAGGAGTTTTAAAAAGTAGAAATGTCCTAATTACCGCATAGGCCTGTCCTCCAGCCACACAGATATCTGATCGTGGAACTGAAAAGACAAAAACGGTAGCCACCTTTCAGCAACAAGGTTAGAGTAAATGAGCTAATATTGTCAAACGTTTCATGCACAGGAACTTAAAATACAGAATTCCCTACCACTCACTTTTGTTCCTCTTCTCCTTATCAAGCCCACATTCTGGCTTGGTCCTTATGCAAGTGAGGCAGAGCCCAATTTCCTTCTCTTTCCAGAACCCAATTCGAGTTTGGGCTCGTGGGGAAAATGTCTGTACCCCCCCCCCCCCCCTTTATAGGTTGTGCCCTGTACTAGGCTCTTGGTTAAGTAAAAACCATTTAGCACTTAGTTGGCATATCACGTGAATATTCAACTGCTGAAAAGTCCAAGGGAATCCATTTAAAACGTTGACTCGAAATATGGCTTATGTTTTTAGCTGCAGCTCAAAAGGATGAGGCCAAAACAAAGCAGGCAGCTTAATTTGTTAAAAGGTAATCCTACGAGGCATGTAATGCACAGTTTCTCATGCAAATAAAATTTACGGTAGAATACATTGGACCTGAAGCAAGAGCCTAAATGATAACAAGTCTATTGCATTGCACAGGGGAGCAGTGGATTAAAAGTGTATCCACTAGATAAAATAGAGAGCAAGGCATTTTCCAATTGAAAAATCACAATGGATCAGAGTTTCTCACCACACGAGTAGCTTGAGCAGCATTTTTGCCCATACAGCACTGTGTTGAGGGTTTCAAAGGGACTACAGCTTGGTGGCAGAGCACACTGAACGGGTTTGCAAATGGATTCCAGTGTTTGTGCATCGCAAACACAAGCCATGCAGTCGCTTTGCCACCAATCGCCAGCCTGTATAAAACAAATGAGGCTCAATTTAAGGGTTACACATGAACTAGAAATGTTCTAAAGTTACTTCTCCATTTGAAGGCGGCAAGTGGCTTGTGGTAGAATAGTTTAAGTGCATGAAATATGGCCAGGTTATATACAAGCCATTCTTCTAAGATTCACACAGCAGTGCTGGTTAGTGTCTGAACACCGAAGGCATTAAAAGTCGGCGTTATCGTTTTGGTAAAAAAAAAAAAAAAGGGTTTTAAATCATTGTCCAAAATTGTTTTTAAAAAATCGTCACTCAAAACGGCTTTAAGTGGCAGAGACAGTTTTCAAACATTCGGTCAGGACCCAAGGGGGTCATCTCAGGAGGATGGGGGGGGGGGGGTCACACAAAGGATCCCACAACTAATGTACAATTTTAAACTGTGGTAAAGCAAAATCTAAGGCAGAGCTGTTTGTCATTTTTAGCTGCATTTGTCACTTGGGGCAAGCCTAGCTCTGGTCAAAACATCCGATTAGTTTAGTTGGATCACAGCTTTAATTGGGAGACGAGTATTGCGGGAATTGCAGTTGTGCAATGCGAGTAACACCACGTGCAATATTGGAGCGTTATTCAATCTGCTTATTATCCCTGAAAGAACTTCAAACCAAAACAATAATAGGCAAATTGGACATTTTACATACAGGGAAAGCCAAGCGTTTTTTTCTCAAAGCAGGAAAGGAGCTATCGTGTCAGTAGGTGAGTTTCACTGAGAAATTTTAAGCATCTTAAGAGCTACTGGCTTGCTTAGGCTAGGGATCTATAGACAAATGCAGAAGGTTGTCGTTACCTCTGTGCCATGGTGAAAAATGGGGAAGACAAATGTCTATACCACTGTCAGAGCAATCTTGATAATTCAGGCAAACAGCTGAATACCCAAAATGCACCCCTGTTTAGGCATGTCAAATTGATGAGAAGGTTGTGCTGCACATTTTTGGCTCGTGTGCTACATTTGGGAGGATGTCACTTGACTAATAGCTGTTAAAGGATGAAGCCGTTGATGTCAACTGAACTGCATTAAACCTCGTATACCACATGCACGTCCATTTGCAAAATTGTGAAGACACGGGATGGGCGAGTTTATATGGGGGGGGGCTCAAAACGTCAGAGAGGGTAGAGATGTCTAAATAATTAAGTGCCGTCTCACATTTGCAATAGATGTCAGAGGAGTGTCGATTCTGATCAGAAGATGGCATTGCCAGATTTCACTTGCATTTGGGAAATTGATTAGGATGAGTATATGCATTTATTAAACGGAGCGATTGAAGCATAGCATGGGGAAAGGTGTAGACCAAGTTTAACTATGCTCCTTTACTCGCTAAAAGTTCTAGAAAGGAAATGAGTACCCCCACCTCAGGGTGAGACTACTCTGCATCTGCAGGGGGACTTAACCCCTCTTTCTCACTATGGATGAGTTTGATTGGGTGCAGCTCATTTCAAGGCCAGCCTGAAATAATGGATCTGCCAGCTGGAGTCAAACAGCACGTTCAAAATTTCATGGATCGACTTTTACATGTCACCTTCCCTTTCATTGCAAAGTACTCCAATGATCAAAGTATGCAACGAAATGGATGGCACCCCTTCAAAGGATGTACATGGTATAAAGGTAGAGTCTTTTATGTTGTTCAAGAACAGATTGATTCGATGTTACAACGCAAGTGGGATGTGCAATAAACGACAGTTAGATTTATAATCCGTTCACGTTTTACGTGACCTGGCAAGGAGAGCATTTAGGTTTCTTCCTTTAAAACCCGTTTATATTCCATTCAATAATCAATTTTAAAAAGTGCAATAACATTTGACATTTCTTTAAAAATGGCCCTCGTCAGGGGGTCGTATGCATTCATTATAAAGGAAATCATATTGGAAGAGTTGACGTGCTAGTTTAGGCCATTAAATAATGCTGGTGCAAACTTACATTGTAATCACGACCCTTGTAGTAGCAGCTCTGTCGGGGTGTGGTGATGGTGGACTGATATGTGGTAGGTGGGCTGCTCATTGTGGGTGCCGTTGTAGATGGGCACAGCTCGTGAGAGATGATGAGCGAGCATTTCGGTGAACATCTCACATAGGCGCACCAGCCGTTGCCGTCACTTGAGATGTGCACAAGTTCACCTGGGAAGCAAATGTGTATGTCCTGTTACCATACGAATGAAAAGTAAAATCGAATTAAAACCGAAAAGCTTCAACTTACCAGCATTTATCATCTTGCCTTCAAAGTCACACGTGCATGGCGTGCCTGGGGGAGGAGGAAAGGAATACATAAAACGCATTAACTTGTAGGTTTAAAGCGAATAGTATTGGTTAGTTGATGTCATAAGGATGCATCACAGAAGGGTCCATTAACGGCAATACATTTTCAATTGCTTGGTATTGTTAACGGAGGGGAGCAATAGCAGTGCGGACATGAATTTAACAGCCATAGCTAGTCCCAGCTACAACGTGCCCGTAACATCCCCTGGTTGCCTTCAATGACCAGCGGGGTTATGGCAGCAAAAAAAAAAAACTGAAAGCATTGGGAAGCCTTTATTTTAAAGCTTTGCATTGACAAAGTGCTGTAATTTTTTAAAAGAATCAGGTGGCAGATTCTGCTTGGGTGATGTCAAGGGGGTTGGTAGTAGTCAGTGGAAGATGGTTTCCAGGTGGTAATGCAAGATAGTTGAGATTAAGCAATTTGAAAAACGTGATCGTGCCAAGCTAGCCATAGGATTCATTAACATGGTCAAATAGAAAAAAGGCTACCCAAGGAAGAAAATTCCAGTTTAGAAAGTATATTCCTGATGACTAAATTAGGAATGCAGTAAGCAAGCCAAGGGGGCGATTAATTAAAATTAAATCAGCGTAGCATCTAAGGGTTTCCCCCCCCCACCCCTTCCAAAAACTTTGCAGCCACTGGCTAAAAGGAAGGCTCGTGTAGTAAGGAGATTCAAGCACAATTTGGTACAAGGAGAACCTGGCAAAGCATTCGTGTTCGTTTGTTATGGGAGTGGCTGTAGGTGGCGGTGTCGCCACGGTAGACGTGCCTGTGGACGTAGGTGGCGGCGGTGTCACGGTGGACGTGGTCGTCGGCATCTCCGTAGACGTGGCAGTAGACGTAGGTGGTAGCGGTGTCACAGTAGACGTCGGCATCTCAGTAGACGTGGCAGTAGACGTAGGTGGTAGCGGTGTCACGGTAGACGTGGCAGTAGACGTAGGTGGTGGCGGTGTCACGGTAGACGTCAGCATCTCAGTAGACGTGGCAGTAGACGTAGGTGGTAGCGGTGTCACGGTAGACGTGGCAGTAGACGTAGGTGGTGGCGGTGTCACAGTAGATGTCGGCAACTCAGTAGACGTAGGTGGTGGCGGTGTCACAGTAGACGTCGGCATCTCAGTAGACGTGGCAGTAGACGTAGGTGGTGGCGGTGTCACGGTAGACGTCGGCAACTCAGTAGACGTAGGTGGTGGCGGTGTCACGGTAGACGTCGGCATCTCAGTAGATGTGGCAGTAGACGTAGGTGGTGGCGGCGTAATGGTAGACGTGGACGTTGGCATCTCAGTAGATGTGGCAGTAGACGTAGGTGGTAGCGGTGTCACGGTAGACGTGGCAGTAGACGTAGGTGGTGGCGGTGTCACGGTAGACGTCGGCAACTCAGTAGACGTAGGTGGTGGCGGTGTCACGGTAGACGTCGGCATCTCAGTAGACGTGGCAGTAGACGTAGGTGGTGGCGGTGTCACGGTAGACGTGGCAGTAGACGTAGGTGGTGGCGGTGTCACAGTAGACGTCGGCATCTCAGTAGACGTGGCAGTAGACGTAGGTGGTGGCGGCGTAATGGTAGACGTGGACGTTGGCATCTCAGTAGATGTGGCAGTGGACGTAGGTGGTGGTGTCACGGTAGAAGTGGCAGTAGATGTAGGTGGTGGCGTTATGGTAGACGTGGCAGTGGTTGCCAATGAAGTTGAAGGCATTGTGGTTGTGCCTATGGTTGACAGAGGCACAATATATCAAGTTTCCACAATGTCATGGAATACTTGTAGGTGCAAAAGGCAGTTGTTGCTTTCATCAGGGCAAGACCCTTCGACCATTGCATGCATGTCATTTTATACTCTACCTCCCCAAAAACAAGTTGGATAAGAGGTTTACAAGTTTCATAACCAATAACAAGATCTTGAAAATACAAGTCAACCCTTGGGTAATACAAATGCACACTAAGGTTCGGCTACAAAAGGATGCACTTACTTATTTCAGGAATGCACGAACCATTGCAACTTATTTTTCCTTCAGGACAATAGCAGCCTTCTTCATCTTGTATGGTAGAAACTACACTGCTGCAGAATCAGAAAGCAGAAATTGTAATGAGGACAGGTATTTGAAAGCTTTGGCTGTGCAAAGTTTAGGGGGGGGTGGGGAAGATAAATTACCCATTGGAGCAGGACTTCACAATCTTTGGACCTTGCGGCATATACTGTCCGTTAGTGCAGTTGTAGCCTAAACCAAAAGAGGATCAAAAATGAAGCAAGGATATGAAAAATGTTTATAAAATAACAGAAACGGTTTTGAAAAAACAAATCTGAAAAAATTGCTGGGCCAGAGGCAAATGGCACACTAGCATTGTATTAAAACATTAAGCCGACGATATTTTGTCTTTAGGTTTAATGACCAGTTACCACACGGTCAAAATAATGAATATTACCACAAGTTCCATTGGTGGCACTACGCCAGTCAACGTTGTAGCCCAGTTGGGCACACTTTTCTGCTGCTGCTTGAATACTTGGGCAGCCAGCCTGAGAGGAATTCACTTGGCACAGATCATACTTGCACGTGACCAGGAACTCTTGCAGGCTCACCACCTTTGAACAGTTTAAGAACATGCTGCAGAGGGGAAAAGGGGAGGTGGAAGAAGCAGCAGCCTTGAAAATCCATTGCCAAACCAAGATGGTACAAGGGATAGAGCAAAGGTTTGGGAAGATCCAATTAGGAGGAGTCGCGTGAACAATGGCTTGGATAATGAATGGCCCCTTATTCGAAGTCCCACTGCCAACAATTGTTTTGAGCACATGGGTTAAGGAAAACAAAATGTGCACAAGCATCATTACAACTACTCTGAATATTATGCAGCTAAATTCTAGGAGGGCTGCAAGTGTCTTGTTATCCACGATTTGGTTCTAGAGGGGACTTCTAAATGGCCGTACAGAGGAAAATGTAAACAAGCAAATTGGGAAAAGGTACATGGACAAATTTGGGGGGGGGGGGGGGGGGGGGTGTGGAAGAGATATGCACAAGTCATGTAAAGCATATACACGTGCATTGCAATTCAGACGACTTAGATCCCTTACGTGCTGTTGATGGCGCCGCACACCGACATGTTCATTTGGCACGGAGCCGGCGTCGTTGAGGGTGTGCAGCTCTGGTTCTTGCTGGAGTTGAACGCCGAGGAGAGGCAGTGAGGCTTTGTAACGTCACGTACGGCCCAGCTCGAGGCAGTGCTGGGGCAGCACGATGCAGGCTCTGCAGTGCCATTCCACCAGGCACAATCATCGTTGGACAAGTTGTTGCAAACGCCTGGATGTGAAAGGAAGAAACTTAGTGCATGCGTGGATAATGCTATTCTCTTCTTTTATTTGCATCTGATACAGGACACTGGTTCTTGTGGCAAGCCACGTAGGTAGAAAACGACGTTTTGATAACACAAGCCTTCGTCTTCAGGTGAAATTGCGACAGCTGTGATGTCTGCTGCCTTGTGAAGAGGAGCTTTTACCAGCAAGAGCTTATACAAGCTTTAGAAAAGGCAACTTGTATACACTCTTGCCTGGTGAAAGCTTTTCACAAGGCAGCAGACATTGCGACTGTTGTGGTTTTCACCTGAAGACGATGGCTTGGTGTTGCTATCGAAACGTCGCGATTTATTGTTTCTACCTATGCGACTTGCTAAAATAACCAAGAGTATGATTTCTGCAGTCACTTCAAATCAAGGACACGCATTGTTTATTTCTGCAGCGACTGGATGGCTATGCACTTGCATTAGTTGAAGCAATTAAGGCCAAGGCATCAGTCGGAGCTAAGAAACCCATTGCCAAAAGGCTTACAAAAAATAAAGCATATGATTTCTGGAAATGTTAAAAGAATTAGCTGTAGTCTTAACTACACATGTTATTCACCCGTCCAAGTTTGGCATTGCAATGCCTAAACCCCGTTTAGGATGGGTGCAAGTTTACATTGTCATCTACCTTTGGATGCAGATCAAAAACCATTTGTACTTGCTAATGGAAGTATTAGTGGCAAAGGCACCTAGAAAAGTCAGCAAGTGCATAACAGATTTAGGAGACCCATGGCTTTTGTAATGCCTAGCATGACAACTTACCACATTGTCCTTGGGTGTTGTTTTTAAATAAATCATATGGCAAGTAGATGGAGAACATATCGCCAGTGAATGAGATGGTTGCATCTACGGCAGGGATGGCCACCTTCACCACAATGCGACTGGAGGTAATGTCAATCCCATTCGATGACAAGGGTGGCGTCACCAGTATGTTGTTGAAGTATACCTTCAAAAAGCAATTGCATAATCATTTTAGCAAACAGCTATTAGCAGCGTCAAGTGTACATACAATTAAGTAAGGATACTTTTAATTTTACGTATTGACCTCGTACAAGCTTTAATTTTAGAGCCAGGTGGGTGTTTGTTTAGTGCCAAATGGAGTTGTTTGGAAGCAAATCAACAGGTCAGACCTTTTCAAATTAAGCTTGCACTTGGTTGTTAAAGTAAATGCAAGTGTTAACTGGTAATTAGAAAACGTACCGTGATGATGTTCTGCCTTCTCCCCAGAGTGGCTGGGATGCTCATGTTGACAGAGTTCCCATTGTAGTTGACAACGAGGCCCCTGACAAAAGAGGCTGGGTTTCCACGGGTGAATTGATAATTGTCGAGGAGGATCGTAAGGTTCTGTTGCTTAATCCTCTCCTCCATCAGGATGTAAGTGCAGTCCTCCAGGAAGGTGTACTGAACACCATCAAATGTGATGTAATGGGGGTCTCCCCATCCCTGGCATTTGCCTTTTTGCAATTCCAGACAAAAAAAGGCCCATTAGACAGATAGTTCATAGTTAAATATACGACATGTCAGCATGGTTCTTTATTATCTGGCATGGATCCACCAGTGAAAGTGTTCATTTGGAGGACTAACATGCTTGGGTGAAGAGACTGCCTGCCTCACTTGTGGTGGCAAGCAGATGCACATTCTGGAAAAAGTCAGCCATGTAACAACGTTTGACATGTTAGATTATAGAGCGTATAATAGGTGCAACGCTGCTGGAGGAATAGTTGGCACATTTCTCAACTCTGCAGTGTAAATTAGGGTGTGGTGGGGTCCTCGCATTAATGTTTGGCAAATGTATAAGGAGCCCAAAAACTAAGCAATTTTAGGTGGGGTTCCTATAAATGCAACTGCATCTAAAAGATGGAACAGGAAGCGGTTATGCAATTTAAAGACGTGCCGGATTGAACACAAAAAACAGGAGACCGAGGCAAACAGGTTTGCTGGTGGTGTTCAACCCAATGGAGCAGTGTACAAAGCAGCATATACTCACATTGGCATTGCCATGTACAGCAACCATCGCTGTCAGAAACGCTGCGTACAAAAGAACAGTTGGGCTTTGTGGATTCGCTGCAAGTCTTCACAGTGTAGGTGACGTTGTTGCCGACACAAGTGGCATTCGTACAGTTGTTCACTTTCCAAGTCTCCATATGCTGGGGAAGGATATGCGATGCATAAATTAGGACTAGTATTACAGAGTTCTGTAAAGAAAGGCTATGTTGTGAGGAATTTTTAAGGCAGTTCAAGTTGAATCTTAAAAACATGGTGGCATTTTTAATGCCAGGCTCAGAAAGTCCCCTACAGACTAAGGTATGGCTTGGTCACATGTTAAATGTGGATGAAAATTAGTGTATATCCAATACTACATCGTCAGAAAATATTGCAGAAATGGGTTTGCATGCCATGTACCATGTCTATTTAGTATGGCAGTGCTAAAATCATTTTTTTTTAAAGGCAGCTTAAATTTATGGCACTACCGATGTGCAAGACTGATAACCGAGACCCAAATTGGATTAAGAGTCAGGCAAGAATTAATAAACTGGGTAGGGCAATTAAGTGTTTATCCATTAGTAAAGCAAGCACGTACCCTATACAGTGCACCTACCATTAAAGATGTCCAAATTAAATCCAACTGCAGAGAAGCATGTTTTTTATAAGAAGCATGCCCATTAATTTAAGCCATCCCAGTTAGATCATACAAAACCCTGTTACCTGTCGTGGAGGGACAAGGGAATAGCATCCACTCCCCGTGGTGAACGCAGGCGATGTTGCTGTCGTGGAACATTGGACAGGAGGAAAGCCAGGTTCAGTGCCAGCTTTGGATCATTTTTATAAAATTTGCACAAACTGGCCAGATGTTTGGCCCTTTGCACTGCATTCAGGCTACATTTTATACAAGGCATGATTTTTCAAACCCAAAATGCATTACCCATCCACGTGTATATGAAAGAGAACCATATGCTTGAAGGTGAACTGGTAGACACGAACTATACCTGGATAGAAACCAGAGTCGCCATCCAAGTGTTAATGTATTACGGAATTAAAATGTACTCCACAGCTAGTGTATGAAAAACATATCGCAATGTACATAGCCAGCCGTGCTAAGGTGGTGTTGCACTTGTTCAAATGAGCGAAGCACAGATTAATTTCGGCCAGTCGGTCGTTTTGCATGTGTTCATAGCCACTTTGCACATGGGACAAGTATTGACCTTCACTTGCATAGCCAATGAATGTATTTTAATCGTCGAGTACACCGAATTGTTGATGTTATGTAAAACCACTGCACAGTCATACAATCTCAATTTAGTCCATTGCATCGCCCTGTACAAGGCAGCTGTGATCAAGGATATTCTCATTGGGCTAGTTTTAGGGCAACGAACGGCCGTCAGCAGTTCAATTGTTACCTGTGATGGTGGGAGTTGTAGACGGACACAAGGTGTCTCTGCCAATCAATCCGGCGTCGGTACATATTCCCGTGACGTTGCACAGCGAACCGAGATCGGTGTATATATAGACGATTTCACCTGGCTTAAATTGGTGTCCATTGTAGACGCAGCAGACTACATGCAGGAGACAAGTCGTGGCATTATAAACGTCCCAATTAATCAAGTACCGTGTTGTAATTAAGAGTTGCTTTTAAGGACCTGCATTTGTAATTGCGTCATCATTTATATTCTTGGTTCTTTCGGTAAAGTCACGTAGAATGGAAGCAAAAATAAAATATAAAACAATAAAATTCACGACGTTTCGATTGCAACACACGCAATCATCAGGTGTGAAAATCAGCAAGAAAATTCACACCTGATGATTGCTTGTGTTGCAGTCGAAACGTCGTGAGAATTGTATTGTTTTATATTTTTATTATTTTGTTTCGCTTCTACGCGACTTTACCAAAAGAACCAAGTATGAATCCCTGCAGTCACGAAAGCTTTAAAGCAAAACGTAATCATTTGTTGTATAACTATTGTCATTACCACATCGTGCAGTTTCATGATTGTATGTACTCTAGAAACGATATTTTTACAGCTTTAATACGAATATATACTCACCATTGGCTGTAGCACAGTGAAGCTGCCCCATAGTACAGTTGCTGAAATACATTAAATTGTCAAAGATAATGTAAATAAGACCAAAGCAGGTGCAAGAAACCAGTTTGGGAGGCATTGGTCAGTAAAGGAAATGCATCTTTGGGAGGACATCGCTAGCAGTGCTGAAAGTAGATCACAAGAATGGCAGTTGCAATGGAAGCGAGGGGATGAGGCCAATAAAGGACTGGTGGATTAAAAGGGACTAACTTTGTGGCATGATAGATTGGAGGTCATTGTTGGGAAGTCATGCAGCAGTATATAGATCATAGATGTAAATGATAAAACGTTCAAACTTAGAGCTTCAGGTCGAGTAATACTGTACACAGCATGGTAAGTAGGGATGCTTACCATATCTGGCACGTGTCCCTGCTCACCAAAGTACCACCAGGAAGGACTATCGTGTCATTTAGCTCACAGCTGCAGTTCTCCCTTGGCACGCAGTGCAAGGTGCGTTCATCCAAGTATGTAGCATTTGAACATTTAGGGTAGCAGCCTGTCATGGAAGACAATGTCACGTGGTAATGGTTTTACACGTTGGTGAAATGTATCATACCAGATGCAAAATAGAAAGCTCTACAATAGCACTATTTGTAATTATAATCTAAGAGCCAAGGAATTGCATCAAGACCACCCGAGACAGCATCGAGTTGCAATATCATGGCCACAACAAAATTTTGCGTAGAAAGTAGTTTGCACTGAAAGCAGTCATCTATGAAAAACGAGGGGGGAAGAAACAAACACAAGCAGGTTAAGCATTTCCCCCTGCACACCCCCATCTATATTTAAGTGTAGAGCACTAGCAGCTTCCTTGTAAATTACAACTAAGAGCATCCAAGATGGCTGCAGAAGTATCTGAAAGTGCACGATGTACTGTTAGCCAAAAGCTGCTGCTTAAAAAAAAACACCAACTCATGACCAAGATGGCGTGATTGTTTATGCCCGAGAACAGCAAGGTATTGTGGCAAGCACTTGCATAAACAAGTGCTACTTCATGTACGTGTCAATAACGTTGGAAGTCTCCGCTGTGAAAACTGCAGGACAGTTTTGCACGAGGCAACGATTACATTAGTAAACGGTTTAAATTATTCCCTTTGTCGTGCAAATATTTGGAGGCAACCGATCTTTCTACCCAAGGTTGTACACCAATTTGCGACTCTGGCCCATGGACTAGTCAGGCCTGAAGCCAGTAAGTGGGTGGTAAAGTCAAGACCATGCCAAAATATTAAAATCAAGAATGTTTAAGTCGAATTTACTTCATATAATGTGCAGAGAATGTCTAGAACTGGATGAGGTACCAAACAAACCTTGCTTATTTGGTTCTGGATCAGTCAATTGAAAAGCATGTGCATTCACCTTCAAGCCTTGGGAAGTCACCCAGGTTGATGCCTTCTGGATCGTCACAAGTTTTGGTGTTGACAGTGCCACATGGATGGTAGTGCCAGGTACATGTGTTGGGGTCATTATAGAAGTCACAGAAAACAGCTGGCAAAAAACAGGAGCAATCAGGGGTGTCATTTAGGTGCTAAAGTTAAGTAACAGACTACTTTAAGTTAGGTAAACCATATTTTTCAATGTTTGGAATGTCCCATATGAATCTTTACAAGCAAAATGCATTTCAAAACAGCATTGTTAGAGGTCAGAAGTTACTCATGCACTCGTGGAAAAGTTGAGTCACAGGTGTTGGGGCGCATACACCAAGACAGTTGCAGATATTCCAAACTCTCATGAAGTTACTGGAAGCTTGCCAAAGGTGAAGTGTAGACATGACCCAAGGTCTGTGTCCAACCCCTTGGATTTCCACCCATGGGAGGTTCTCCATTATTAGAACAGGGTAGGTCAACCCGAATATTTGTATGATAATCAGTCTATGGACTCCGGCCTGTTGTCCAGCAGCAGCTTTGTCCCAGCAGGAAAAACGCACCACATGGAGGCACACGAGGGGACAAAATGGACATTCTAGGCAGTGCATGCGTGTTTTTCAGGTGTCACTCACGGCATAAGTCCGGGGTCCTCCAATGGATGCACAGGCCAACCGCATTGCATGCTTCTGCATAGGCAGCCACTACAGTGCAGAAGAGCTTGCACTCCAAGTCAGTGTTGCATGCACACGAGTCACGTACACAGGCCTCGTAGTATGGCACGTAGTCCACCTTCCCCCCCCATACAAGGGTGGCATGAAAGCCAGACATTAGCACTAGGTAAACATTTTTTCTTTGCAAGGCGTGTATGGAAAAGGCCAGCTGTAGTTTATACTAGCAAAAAAAATACGAGCTAACTAGGCATACACAATTGCATTTTTGGGTACAAAGGCTGCAGAGCAATAAAAGAAAATTGCATAGAATAAATTGGTGTTAGGTATAAGCCACTTCACCCTGCAAACATTGTTCTCAGAAACTTGCACAATTCAAGCAACCACGCTGCAATTAGTGAGTGGCAAAGCGTACCTCTCCGTGGCATGATGCAAACACCCCACTGCTAAGGAGGCTGCACTCCCGCTCGGCCGATGCCTTGCGGTTAAAGTTCAGCACACAAGAAGGGACTTCCTCGCCCATATCTGGGCATGTATCGTCGGCCTTCCAGCTGTTCCCAAACTGAAGTGCATTAGCCGACACCGAGTGGTCCCGCATGGTGAAGTCGTCAGACACATCCCCGTTGTACTTGCCACAAAGGCCACACAGCTCATTCTAGGAAGAACAATTCCGTTGCGTTAGACTAGTTTAAAAATTTCCAGCACACCCATGACAATAATTTAGTGTACATGTTAGCACACATTCTTAGACAATGTGCACCGCAACCAAGCTTATTGTATAGACATACAAGCCTGGGGTGGACGTGCAACTACGGTTTGTATGCCCAAGTTACAAATGAGTGTAAATGTCTCAATAGCGAAAGTGCTCCGTGAAGACCATCTTCCTAAAAATGGCAGCATAAACAATGGAAAGATAGTTGGTAATTAAAGAAATATGTATGGCTCACCTTCCTGTCCGGGGTGACCTTGATGAACAGGGTTGTCTTGCGGTCCCAGACTAGTTTTATTCCATTTGCAGCATCGACAATTAGGTACAGCCCAACAGAATAAACCCTAAATCTGTGTGTGCTGCTAATACTCTTGGACCTGAGAGAGAATGAATAGGTCCCATCTGCCAATGTTATCTCTTGGTCCTGGGAATAGAAAACCACATTCTAAATTTCAGAAAGGAAGGGTTGGGCAACTTTAATGCGATTTGAATTGCGAGTGCACAGTCTTGCCTGCAAGAAGAATCTTATGGATTTGGAGCAAGTGGACAAGGTACTGCGACACAGTATGTTCTCCACGGTGATCTGGAACGTTCCATTTTGTGGACTGGTGCCACAGTAGTCCTATGAACGAAACAAAGTGATATGTAGATATGTTAAATATAAAGATTTGTGCGTCTCGTTATAAGGGGGAGAAAAAAGGTCTATACCTGTGCTACTACGTATTCACAGGAGTATCCATTAAACAAGAAACCCTTTCCGTCAAATGTGGTGTAATGGCCATTTCCAAATGTCTTGCAGATGGCGGCACAGTAGTTCTTGGTGCAGTTCCAGAAACCATTGGAGCAGTTGCTGAAATGCAAATGAGAATGCATTATGTAGTAAGAACAATCTACCCACAAATGCCAAACCAAGTCAAAAGGGAGAAGCTTTCATTGTCCATTGGAGGGTTAGCATTTGGGAAGGAAACTGGAGAATTCTATAGAATAGTTGTCAATATCCACACAACCAAGGTCAATAACCTGGGGTGAATTTATCCATTAGATGACCAAAACAGGCTTAGCATCTACATAATAGCCAGGTGTCTTTTTAGGCAGGCATTTTCCAAGATGCATTGTGGGTTTATGAGTAAAGGTTAAAGGTTTGGAATTTCCAAATGTATCAAGGAAAATTGGTGCATTTAAAAATAAGTCTGTGCCACTACAAATATATTCCAAATCTAAAGCACATCCTGTTGTAGACTATGCAACTAAACTTGTGAATACCTCCCTAATATAGGTGACAACAGCTAAAAGGCAAAATACCAATTTCAACAACTCTAAAACCCGAGGTTAATTTAGCCTTACAGCTCAAATTGACAAGAAAGTCAAGCATGCATACACCAACCGTGGCTTTTCGCCCCATTGTCAGACCCATTAACATCCTTACCATTGGTTGCAATCAACTTGGATCGAATTCCCAGGTGCATATGTAATGCCATTGTGCTGGCACGGGCAAAAATGTGGTTGGACACAAGTGTCATTGCGAGTTCTCACAAGGTCTTTTGGACAAACGCAGCCTGGATAGCACCGTATGCCGAGCTGGACATGCAAACAAAAAATCGGTTTAACACTCAGCACTTCAACTGTACTTGCTTTTATACATACAAAAATTGAATCATTGTCAAAGATATTGGTAGTATGATCACACCCATCAAATGACAATACTACCAAGGCTAGGTCCAAAATGGCCATGATTAAAACAAGGCCAGAAGGTTAGGTCATCACCGCATTGAATATTTGGGAACAAAATGGTAGAGCTTGGTGCATTGCTAAATTCTGCAACCCAGTTGCTGGACTACTTTGCAGTGGAATGTCGCATCTAAAAATATGTTGGCCTCTGGAGATTGAGGAAGGCTTCAAAATGAATATTTGGGTGCAAAGTGCCAACATCAGCAATGGGTAACCCATGTGACCAGGGGCTCCTCATGGCCACAACCCTTGAAATGTACTTGTGTGCTTCCCCCACAAGACTGCACTTCTGTTTAGATCTCCAGAATCAAGTCTTTCCAGGAGGGATGTTGCAGCGCCATACAAGCCAAAAAGCTGGCAAAGGTCTAAAAGGTCGGTTTTTGCTCGGGCGTACAAGGATATTTAATGGCCATTGAAGGGACAAGGCACTTATTTGTATGGTTAATATACCTGCAGTAGTAACAAGGGCAGTCAAATTAAATCAACTCTTGCAACAAACAGTACTTCCAGGCCACAAATGATGAATTTGGGAATATGGATACTTACACATGGGGGTTCCTGCAACTCGCAGGTTCTCTCACAAGCCTTCCCATAAACGCCACTCTGGCTGTTGATGCAGTCGGTATAAACCATTGGGGGATTACATTCTGTTGAGAAAGGAGAAAACCACCTTGAAAAAGACAATGGTGTCAAGAGCCCATGTTTTGTATTCTTACCCTCCATGAAAAGGGAGCAACCACCCCCCCCCCCTCCCATTAACATGGAAGCATTAGTATATGAAAAAACCACAAGGCAATACAAAAGTATATTACAACGGTCAGCAATTTCAACGGGGGTTCTGGGAAATGCTCTTCACCAGGTTGAAAACAAATGGTTTCAAGAGCCTTTTAATCTACAAATTAAAGGGCTGCAAAATTCTGCACATTTATGGTAAGATGTACGATTTATGATAGCCCATACCTGGGTAATCTTGGCAGCGCAGTATTCCATTCTTACAATAACTGAAATGGAGGAATGTTTGGGTTAAGCATACGAATTCATATTTGCATCAAATTATAGCCTATGAAAATGGACAGCGACATTGCCCGTGTGAAGTCAAATTTGATGTATTGCAAGCCATAGCTATGTTTGCTTGCAGGATGTTATGGAAATTTGTAGACGTGCCGTTTTAGCTTTGTAATGTTTTTGGCATATATGTTAGGAATTAAAAGGTCCGTCAATCAAAAAAACCGGTACATTCTAAACCCCAGAAGGTGAAGCTTAGTGTTTCCCCTTAAAGTGATACACAATATTTACTATATGGGCCTGAAGAGTGAGAGATGGCATATTCCACTGGCCATTCCGAAAAAAATGGAGACTGCAGTAGAAGGGCTGTTCGAGTACAAGATAGTTACCTGGCACCTATAACCAGTGCACTCATGCAGGAGGAATTTGCGACGTGAATTGTTGGCAAAATTGCCTAAGTGTACAAATCGAATACCGCCTTCAATTACCTACACAATATAATTTTCATAAAAGAATATGCACCCAAGGTGAAGCAACGCTACAGAAATTGTATCAATTTAAATATTTATATCTACCTAGAATATATATTTTTAAAGCCACAATGTACAGTGCAAAAGGTTAAGGTCTTGGACTATGGTGAATGTACGCGTTTTTGCATACATTACATAAATGCATGGCGTTTTTGTCAAACGATGAGCTGTATAGCAGAGCAGCAAGAATAAAGAATTACAGAGTATGGTGGTGTAACCTCATGTGTAATTGCCCCAGCAGGGGACTACAGGCAGTTGACAGTGCAAATGCGAATCAGTACAGCAATCCTTTGCTTAACGTGGAACAAAACCACATTAAACTTAGGCATGACTGACCATGTACAGACACTGCACAATTTGAGCCGCTGCCCCACGCCCATTATACTTTCGAGGCATTTAGTTTCCGTAATCATTTGGTATCGAGAGAAGTCTGCACAAGTGCTTCTACAAGTCAACCATTTAAAAATGCTTAATTGTGATGTTGAAAAATGCAAATCTCTGGCAGTAGAACACTTGGGACGTACGCCATATTTTAAAAACTTGGAGGCCCATTTTGAAAAGGTTTTGCTGGGATTTAATCAACCATTACAGGTCTGCCTTCCCTAATAAGATTCCACTCATTCTATAGCCACTGCAGTCCTTCCACATCTTTGTTCAGAACTTTAAATCATTAAAATCAAAATGAACGTGCATGCTTCATTTGGTGCAGGGAAAGAACATTACGGCAGTCGAGTGGGAAGATGGTTAAGCTTTGCACGTACCAAGAAAGACCATTTATGTAGACAAATGCGCCTGGTTGGACCTTCTCGCCATTCAGGAAACAGGGACAGCGAGACACAGAAACACATGTCCCTTGGTCGTCAGCATACAGCCCCCTAGGGCACTGGCAACCTTCCACAGGCACATCAGTCACGGTGCATGCTACACCTTGGTTGCTCAGAGAGCGGCATGTTCGTTTACAGCCATCACTGGCGTAACTAAACAACTGGTTCTGTAGACACCCCACCAGTGAATCTGAAAGAAAAAGTGGTGTCATTCCGTTAGCCGTTTAAAGTCAATAGAATTTAGGAGTCAAGTAAACAGGCAAATCACGATACTCTTATGTAGATGAGGAATTGCCGAATTCATAGCAGACAAGCCAATAAAAATATGGCATACAACTGGCCTGCCGATCGTTGCCGAGCTTAAAAACGCTATTGTTGCAACCCTTGGAATTGCCAGGTTAACACAAACCCACAACGTGACTATGCGGCGCATTGGAATGTATGGACTGGCTAGGAATGACGCATCAAATCAATGCAAATTCCTGGGTCTCTATCATAGTGCGCTCGTGGCAATGTTAAAGGTATAATTAAAATTTGTCCTGCTAGTCGCCAGTCAATTCAGCACTTGCAAATTGACTGGAGGTTGCACACCAAGCAGAATGTCATTCATTCAAATGGAGAACATGGTGGGCAACTGCCCATACGATTAGGTGAGAGCTGGTCAATTGCAGAACCCTTCATCTACCCAATATCCCAGATATGTTTTAATTGGAAGCGATATTCTTAGACCCCTTCCCAAAATGTTAGTTTTAAGTGCAGCATTACCAGTGGCTCTCCTCCATCCATGCAGCACATTGCCCTTGGATGCACAGGCACGGGCATAGGCAAACTGAGTCTCCGTCACACAATCCTGGCCTGCTGGGCAGCTGCACGCATCTGACATGCACCTCTGACCACACGGTAAAGGACAAAGTTCCAATCATGCAATCACTGTATTTGCCCATACTCATAGAGGGAAGGGGGTCCCCAGAGCAGTAGAGCCTTCTTCTCGGGCAGTCATTTTTCCAATGGCCAGACTACACTGAATGAATTGAACTGTCGTACTCAATTATAATACGTGGATAAGAAAAATGCATCCATTACAAATCGCCATAGTATGGAGATGAAATTATGGACCTTTATAAAAGCCAGGAACCCCACAAATTTTAAGAACAAAACCTGAAGTTTCCAAGCTTGCAGAAACCTTGATTGCCACCATTTAAAGCGAATGTATTAGTTACAATAAGTGCATGCATTTTTTAAATAAACGAGCTTCATTAACAAAGTATTACCTTGTAGTATCTGTAGGGGTCTAGTAGGTGATGGCATTGTGCAAATACTCCAGAAGGTGCTCGTAAAATGGAACACTTGCGCTCGGCGCTTTCCGCTGGCGAAATAAACAGTTCAAAGGCTTTACTTCCATATAATTAAGGCTGTTACTATGCAGTGGTACACGAACAAACACTGAAACCATTTGTCCAGACTTGCATAAAGGTTTAGGAAAATTAAGGCAGATTCTGGAACTCTGCAATTACCATTTTATAAAGATGGCCATCAGGGCAAAAATGGTGCATTATGCAAATTCCTTTTTGCCTTGGGTGTGTCCAAGCCTTGGGGAACCAAGGTTGGCCAGTTCACTAAAAGCCAAACGCCCAATTCCAAGGAACCTTTAGTATACCAAGGTTACACACATTAAATCTTCACTTGTGGTCCCCTCCTGTTATGGAGGCCTAGACGCACTAATGTATTTCTTTTTCACAGATCCTTACAAATAGGAAGGAATCGAAAAGCGTGAACTACCTATGGCCATGTTGAGTAGGCACGGATCTTGAACCACTGTATCAATGTCCTCGCAATCAGAGCTTGCCTTCCAGGAATTGGCAAACACAACAGCTGTGCCTTCCACCAGGCCCTGGCTAGACATGAAGTCATCCGTAGCAACTCCATTGAAGTTTCCACACAGCCCTGTCACACACACACACACACATTTGGTGCAGATGGTAGCTCAGAATTTTCTTAAAATGGGAAGTTTCAGCCAGTGGTGCAATTTATAGCAATATTGTTTCAAAGCATTTACATTTGTGAAAGACCTGAATAAGATTACCTTTTGTCTGGCCCTTAAATTCTTCAGGCAGTGTAATATACACTTGCATGCTGGGAGAGATCTGCACCTGCATTTTTAGGCCAAATGACGTGAACACTTGCAGGAACATTGAAGAGGTCTTATAAATTGAGATTTTGCCTGCAACATTGGAATAGACATTAGTACAAATGCACAACATTACAATTTCCCCAAGAGCCAAAAGATGCAAAGAACCATAGTTCACTGGTATAGTGTTTACATTTACCGGACTCGTGAGGCAGCGGGACAATCATTTTAGAGGATAGGATGTTGCCATTGCTTTTGAATTCATAGGACATCTGGTAATGAAAAAACAACATTTAGGTTTCATAGGTCAGTCATAGCAGGTGAAAATGCAGTTGATGGTCTATGCTCTATGAAGGGCATGCAAACGTATAAAGCATGTAGAGTACCATTTAAAAAAGCCAACTCAAATTGTATGAATTGCCATTATGGAGAACCACGGGAAGAGTGAAACCATATTTAAAGAGTTCAAATTGGGTTTTAAATAGCAGGTGCCATTAGCAAGCCTTTGTTGAAGTCCCTTAACAAGTGCAGCAGGTGGCCACTGCAAGCTATTGCCACCTAGAATTAGCACACCTGCATGCCTTAAACATCCTGTTATTAGGCAGCATGAACACTTGTTAAGTGTAGCTTGTTGTACATACCGATTGAGATTTCAGAGTCACGCTCTTCAAGCAAGCCCTTTCTACTGGAAATGATGAACATGGTCGGAGTAGAACTTCAATGACCCAATCAGCGCTCTGGCAAGGCAAATGAAGACCATGAGAAACTGTACAAAATCATGTGCTAGTGCTTGCTTCACTGAAATAGTCACCATGGACAGGCTTGTCACTAAGAATTAGCAGCATATTTGGGCTAATGTAAGAATGCAAAATCCAAAGTACATATTACAAACGATGTAGGGAGCTGCTGCAAGTGTCACAAGCTAGATTTAAAGCTTTCGTGACTGCTGGGATTCACTTTTTGGTTCTATTGGGTAAAGTCACGTAGGTGAAAGTAAAATAACAAAAAATTACGACGTTTCGGCCACAACACAAGCGGTCTTCATCAGGTGAAGGGACGAGACTGTCTGGAGGACAGCGCTGGAGCTTGGCTGTGTTGGCTGCGTTCGGTCCAGCGCTGTCCTCTAGACAGTCTCGTCCCTTCACCCGATGAAGGCCGCTTGTGTTGTGGCCGAAACGTCGTGATTTTTTGTTTTATTTTCACCTACGTGACTTTACCCAATAGAACCAAAGAGTGTCACAAGCAAGATTAGGTCGGCAGGAAAGAACTGTTGAGAGATGTCTTAGAAACGGTATGGCTCAAAAGGAGCAATGGAAAAAAGGTGCATGTAAAATCAGACCATTTCATAAAGATTTTAAAAGTCTGTACAAAATGGAGACTTGGCATGCTTGTTACGGAGGGGGGGGGGGGTCACGCCAATGTAGAATACATTATTTTTTATAACTCAATTGTGGATATATTGAGCCAAAGCTAAAACTTGCACAAATGTATTTTACACATTGCAATTGCATAAAATATATAGGACCTCATCAATAAATGCCAAACAATTCTAGTAGTTTTACTTGGTGGAAATCTTACAATTTCAGATTAGATTCCAAATAATGTTTTTACAGTAACTGCCTGGGAAGTCTATTCAGACTGGTGAAAACTGAAGGCGTTTATTTTGAATGAGCACGTGGAAGTGTTACTTTGGAAAAAGGATTGCTCTAATTAACCCTTGTGTAAATGCTCAACAGCAAGAATACGTGCGACAAACAGCAGTACCATGGAAAGGTAGTAATAGCAGTTCCCATTGAAGCTGAACGACTTGTGGTCAAACGTGATGAAGTTGGAGCCACCCTCCAGGGAACAACCATCGGCACACAGCAGGGAATTGCAGCTCCATTGGCCAGTCTCGCACACACTGCAATAGGATGTCACGAGTTGTGTCAATTTGTATTGCACATCAATCAATGGTTTATAAAACGCTAGACCAAGCCAGATGCCAAACGTGTTCCCCGCTTAGCAAGTGCTTGGTTTAAAAAACTAGTTAGGTGGTGTCCCACAACAGGATGCTTAAAACACACCAGCTTCGACAACCCTGTTGAGAAATGGCACCAGGGGCGTACACGTCTCCATTCAGAGTGCAGTTGCAGTCGCTTAGGAACACGCAGGTAGTCCCATTGCGCACGGTTAGCACAGAGTCTGCAAAACAATGAGGCGGTGAAACGTTACAACGACTTGGTGAATCAAGAAGCTAAGAATATGCAGTCCATTAGATATGGGAGGATTTTAGGTTGCAATTGAGCAGCCAAGAGACGAGAAAAGCAGATGGCATGGTACGCAAGATCATGAGAGACAGGCAAAGATGGCAAGAAAGAGGATCCATGTTCAACCAGGGAAGGAGCGTGCTGCTTTATTGCAAACCAGGTGGCGAGGGATTTTGTTTAAAGGGGGTGGTTGAAGATCAGACTTCTGATTTTACCCAAGGTTAAATAGAAAATTTAGTTTACATCTGCAAAAAGTAAAAGTCAGTTAATTTGTATGCAACCAAAAAACAATACCGTTTTATGGAGAAATCCTTATGAATCAAGTTAAACAGCAATTTAAGTAGAATACCATATATAGATGAAATTTCGTTTTACATCAGCACCTGAACATGAAACCAAGCATGTTAAATTTTAAACAATTAAATCAATAGTAAACTAGCACGCATTTAAAACAGTATAATGAGAAAGACGCCAAAGTCAACCATAGCCCAACCATATGCGGTTCACTGCAAATCATTTTAATATTGCAGGTCCATGGCTCACCAGGTGGACAGAAACAGCCAGGTACACAACCCTGGCACATGGGCTGGAAGGGGTTGGCACAGGTTTGTGGGCAGGTGGAGCCACACTCCTCGTATACAAGGTCACCAGGACAATCCTGTGGCGCTGTGGGCACAAAAGACAGGGCAGGGCGCATTAGTCATAATCAGCAGGTGGCATATTAAAACCAGAATGCTATACAGGCGTTACAGGATTAAGTCCAGGTTCACTCTTGCACCATTGCTTTTCAATAGCCCAAAGTTTGAGACTTGAATACACAATTCGGCCATGTTATATGCATCAGGAGTAAAAGATTAAATATCACCGAGACCTAACGTGTGGATGAGAGAGATGCCAATATGTAATAGTAGCTTCTTTGACCGTACTAGGACGGAAGTAAATTTGACGAAAAAATTAGCAGAGTACGATGGTAGTGTAAATTGAATGGTAGAGAATCTTACACGAAAGTAGATCATGAAATACGTCACTGTAGTACTGTATATAACCGACCTTCAATTTGTTCTAAGTCACTGCTCTGATATTTTATTCCTCTTGTGCTTTCGATCGCTGGGGTTCAAACAAATTGGATTGCAATATTAGCTGGCAAATCACCGAGAAAGGTCTATTTAACCAAAATGTAGAAGCATAAATTAATCTTTTGTCAAGTGCTGAAGAAAAAAAAACAAATCCACTTGGTTGCTGCTTGTAATTATTTATTAGACGCACTTTCAATAAGAAACTTGAAACTTAAGAAAAATTATTTCCGCTCGACCTTCCGCGTAAGTGTACAAATCCACCCGCTCATTATCATTTTATTAATGATGGGGGAGGGTGCGGCATGTGGACGTCGCACTAATGGGCTATTGTAGTCGTAATTATATCCATTTTTTACACTGGTCATGTCGCTGAAGGCACTACATACCTCCAGGACCATTAACGTACCACAGAGGTTCGACGTCCGCCAGGAGGCCAAAGTGGCACCTCCGATGACGCACTCGAGTGAGAAGGCGGTGAGCGAGGGGCAGCCACACATGGTTTGGTTTTCGCAATGACACTGCTCGTTCATGCACATCGCCACGAAGCCAGATGCAGGCACGTCACATGGACCCATGCGCTGTACTGCCAAACTGCAGGTGCTCCACATCTTTGGGAGGCAAAGGCAAGATAAAGGGACTATTTTAAAGAATCTTCCATTAAAAAGGTCTATATATAGGACAAGTTAAAGCAATGCTTTGTTTGAAAAGATTGTTGCATTACGAAGTACAATAGGTTTACCAAGTTTCCATGCTGTATGTATAATTAAAAGCCACCTATGTAAATTCTCCCAATTTGGGGGGGTTCAGGGTACACTTGCCTACTTACCCAAGGTTCAGAACACACTGGGCCACTCTTCACCTCACACTCCTGGTTCAGTCTCTGTGGGTACGCGTATGCCAGCAAGTCCATATTTTCTGCATACAGAAATATTGCATTTGCAGTGTAAACCTTCAACATACATTAGCTATGCTGCCCCCATGCAGTGGATTAACCACAGTTGACAGCTACTTTCAGTGCAAATGCAGTGTTCGACGAGCATGAAAGTGCCATTACGTATAGTAGATATGAAAATAGATATTTGAGAGTTTACCATAATTAGCACTCAGCTCTTTTTGACCATCAAAGTTTCCGCAAAGTCCACACATGCCATCACGAGCACCTCTGCCAACCACCACCTAAGGCACATGGTCAGTCAGTTCACAACAGCAATTGAGCAAAAGATCTTAAAAAGGAATGCCAGGGGTGCCACTTAAAAAGGTGGTTAAGAACCGTCACAAATCCACTACATACCAACAAGACGTCTTGGGCCCAGATTATCTTTATACCAGGATTGCGTAGGGCAATCTTGAGTCCCATCCCAAACCGAGTGATATGTAGCCGAGTGTTGCTGTATGGCACGACCACACTGGCAAAGTATAAAATAGTTACTCACCCACATGGAAATGGTTAACAGCTCAAGTACATGAGTATGGCACTGCATGGTTCGAAATCCTTTAAAGCAGGAAAATACACATGCAAGCACCAACATTACAAAAATGGCGTTAAAGTGAACAAAGTTCCAGCATAGTTAAGAAAAAAGATTGCACGATGTTTTATGCAGGACAATTACACTAAACCACATACTTTGGCAGCCCCACAACCTAAAATTCAGTACAATTCAAGGTAAATTTCCCTTCCTCACCTTTGTTGTCCAAGCGATACAATTCCATCAGATATCTTCACCATATCAGATTCGGTTTGGATCAAAATGCTAAGGTAGGCTCCATTGATGCGCGTTATGACAATGTTGAACTCCTGGAATGGTGACCGGCAATCTCGGGCTAATGTATAAGAGCAGTTGGACTGCAGTTGAAAGAAGGATCCATCAAAGGTCTTCACAAATCCATCTCCCCACGTGCTGCACACACCCTCTGAAGAACCAAAACATGCGTGGTATAGCACAGCAAATCTGAAAAAGTTTTTTTTTATTGCGATAAGATCCCAATTTAGCCGTAGCTTTCATCACATCTTTGTAGCAAGAAATAACCGAATTGGGTTAAACTATCATAGGTTGGGACTTCCCTGTGCACAAGATTCACTCTTGTGAATAAATTAATAATTTTCTGTAATGATCACTTAGTATCCCTTAGTCAGGGTAGGGATAAAAGGTAAGACCGGTTAACAGATGGCCACCCTTAACCTTATCACCATGTTGTACATCGAACGTTGTAATGTTAGTCTATGTAACGGGCTAGTTCAGGTGGTCATTTCAAATTAATTATTCAATCTTAAAAAAGGATTTGACACAAAATAATCAATGAGTATTAAATAAAGCAACGTACGACTAAGTGCATGCAGAGGACACTAATAAAATTAAACAGCAGGCTATAAAAACAATTGTTACATGGCTTTCTTTAATGCATTCAGGAACCGTTGGGATGGCTATGACATATAGTAGCAATATTAGGTGCCACCTCAATGACGACAAGAGCAGCAAAGGGATAGTAGCCAGCTAAATGGAAAATTGAGGTTGGTGTCAAGTGCACAACAGGATCTAGTAAATACAGATGGCAAGGCTTGGTAGCAGCAGCTTTGGCAAGGAGTATCTTGAAATTTGGCCAATTCGTGCAAACAAATGTTGGCATTGCATGTAATGTGCAAACTCACCACTAGGAAGCACAGGGTCAGGGGGCTCTGCAGTGATCACGAGAGCTACTGGGTTACACAAAAGTGCATTTGGATTACATTAAAAAAATTAATCCACAAATAGATAATTTTCAGGCATGTGAAATCAAGACAATTATTCTTTCACTGCAGCTACGCAGTGGGAGACTTGAAAGCACAAACATAAAAACGCAGATCCACAAGAGTGTGTTAGAGCACACAGTTGTCAAATTCACCATCACCCGACAGCCAATTAGAAAGGTTTGTTACGTAAACAGAACACGGCAATGTTACTAGTACAGCAAAAATCACAACATTCACAATCGTTGGAGTACGACGTTTTGCCAGTAATTGCAACTAGCATCAGGCAATAGCCAGTTGTGGAAACTTCTTCCTGTTGGGCCCATCACGTGCTAAGAGGTGGGGGGGGGATTAAAGCATGTTTAGACAGTACAATAGCCATCCATATGGTGAAGAAAAACCACATTTATGCATGCATTGTTTTTGTACCTCCTATTGTTTGCGTGCAACAGCAGTATCTGTCATTGTCGGTGGATAGGCAATTCCCATTGGAGGTATGGCAACCTGTATTTTAGGCATGCATTTAAACCATTGAGGATTCGCTTCCAAGCAGCACCAATCCTGTAGCTATCAAAAAACGGTGAAAACAATTTAACGCAATTTCAATATATTCTCCAATTAGTCTTGGCAAGTCAAAGAGTTTTCCCACGGAACTTTAACATTATCAAAATCAATTGAGTGTCCTTTTTGGCACGCTTGTTCCACCACTGTCAGTTGTATTTGGGCGTATTACTGGTAGGAAACGTAGTGGACTGGAAGCCCAACCGGGATTAATTCACAGGAGGCAGGGGATTAATTGTGTATGTCTGTTCACGTGTATTCAGACACCAGGATAAAATGGGAGGGGCTGGGTTGAGAGGGTGGGGTCACCCCGTGGTGCCCTTATAAAACTCAACGCTTAACCTACTCACGCCGGCTTGTGCCCACCCTCAGTCAGGCATAATTGCGGAATACACCACGTGGTGCCGCCGTTGACCTTGGCCATTGACCGAGCAACCCAACATTCCTACCAGCTCCCTCCGCAGGAGAATGTGTTTAATATTACTGGTGTTATTTTAGTCTCGTGCCAATCATTCGTCCTGTGTGCCTAACATAGCATTTGCCACAAGTGCAATAATCCGGTTTACACCTTCTGTGACACATCTTAGGTACCAAATTAGTTCGTATTTTATGGTCAGTGCCAAATAGGACTCCGACGTTATGTTTAAAAAAAAATCTGGCTAGTTGCAGTTACTTCCGCAACGTATGGTATTAAGAGTTTTAATTAAGTGGTCAGTTTCAACCTCTCGTGTTATTGGATTTTGCCAGTCAGTGCATTATTGTAACCGTTCAATTATAGTTCCGTTATAAAAATGCTTAAATTTAACTTAGACTATGACCGTCTTTCTTAGCCCAGTGTAGGAGCGTCTCGAGGTCATTTCTGTGCGGGGTTATGGTGAGACTCTGATCGGCGTCAGTGTGCATTTTCTTTCGGTAAACAGTCTATTTTACCATTTCGGCCGCGTCAGAGCACTTGCGCGATCATATAGAATTTTTTTTCTATATTATGGGTAATATTGGTTACAAATGCCTACATATAAAAAGCAGATTGGTGAATATGGTAACATAACAATTAGTTACCATGAAACACCCAAATACGAGCCCGATGTATAGTTCTACATTAAAACAAAGCCGATTATAGCATTCACCAACTTTTGCATTGAAAAAACAACAATGTGCAGAGAAGACTGCAATGTCAAGCATTACATAGGATGTTGGCCATAGATCGAACTCCGTTGCTGGGCTCGTATTACACAAACCTATGCTTTACATTGTATCATACGTGCAGCAATCTTTTTCGGCATCCGACTACTGGAGGAAGTCCTCCGTAAACTCTGCATGTGGCTTACCAATTTGAAAAACCAAAACACGTGTTGGTCAAGGCAAAGAGCATACAATACAACATCAGAATTAAGGATTTCGCCGCAATCTATTGCCAACCTACCACGATCTACAGCAACAAGCCATCTTAACAGTACAAGAACTATAGGGGTGAATGAGAAGCACGTTATTAAAAAAACTGCCATAGGTTATGGCTTTTCAAAATACATAAAATAAAACTACTTGCAGTCGTTATAAAATAATTACTTTACCATATTTTAGGTTCTATAGCTGGTAGTCTTTTTTGCAACTCCGTAAATATAAAAAAACGCAATACATATCGAACAAGCTGCATTGCAATTTAAACACCTATTTACATAAACCACTACACTTCCGCTTACCTGCGCAAAACAGGCCACACAGCCCTGACCACACAGCCTTCATCGTATCCGCAATTCAGGAGACGGGATACAATGTCCACGCTTATGCCATACATATTTATATGAAAGGCTTGCGTGCTGATTGCCAATTACCAATTAGACCAGTTCCTGGGAGTGAAATTACCTTGCGCCTTATCAATCACATTTGTAATACAATTGTCCATGGGCTTGCACGTTTTTCGCATGTCCGACTGTGATGTAAATTAATCTCGTTTATATTCATTCATGGATGAGGGGGAGTGGGTACACTATACAGTTAACATGGACTAAAGTTCCATCCATGTTGGTCCAACGGATCCCACCACTTGACAAAGTTGTATTTTTACTGGGTAATTGTGAGCCGTGTTAACGATGCACCCCATCATCGGCGATTTTGTTTAGAATTTTAGGACCGTGATTCGAATGACGAATTTACGTTGTGTTTCTCTTGATTTTTGCGTTTCTTTGCATCGTGTCTCGTTTATGATGATGTGACGTTTTTAAGGTTTTGGTCGTTACATTGGCCCGGGTGCAAACATATTATCAAATCAATTGAACTAAATACGTTGCAGACATTGAAAAACGTCCATTATAATAGACGGTTCTCCCACGTTATCTGGCGATACAAGATTCAATATTAATCAATGAATTGAGATACATATGTAAACTTTCACGCGTTTTTTTTTATATCGTTATCATAACTGCCTGGAGAATGTCGGAACTTCATTTCAATTATTGGCTCTGCGCAGCTATACTTAATTCCAAATACATTTATATTCTTGGTTCTTTCGGTAAAGTCACGTAGAAGGGAAACAATAAAATAATAAAAATATAAAACAATACAATTCTCACGACGTTTCGACTGCAACACAAACAATCATCATCAGGTGTGAAAGCCACAGCAAGAAAATTTGAAAAAAGTGGCGGTTATTTTTTTACGTTAGCACCACGGAGAGCGATTTGACAGTTTATTCAGATGGACGAGTCCATCTATGTTCGAAAAAGAGGAGGGGGGAGACGAAAATAATGGATGCGGTCTGAAAGCCACCGTAAGCGTGAACAATCAATTAAGACCCGAAATGGTTTATAAAATCCTTCCAATGATTGCTAAGCCAGAATCCATCTTCTTGGTTGAAATTGTCTCTGTGTTTTATATGTGGATAGCCTCATGAACGAATCTCTCATTGTAGCCAGATGGCTTGCAGAGAACCTCTGTCTTGGAGAAGTCAATCTCATGTGAGCCTACTGAATTATAACAGTGATCTGCCACGGCCGAGGTGTTGGTCCTACCGTGTTTTAGGTCTGCTTTGTGTTCACGGATGAAGTCCGAGAGATGTCGTTTGGTTTCTCCAATGTAACTACTACCACAGAGGAAACTTATTTTGTAGACGCCAGGGTACTGTATGTCCGGAATCACATCTTTTACAGACGGAACCAGATCACGGATTTTATGTAATGTGTTGAATCGGACCTGGATCTTGTGTTTATTCAAGATTTTGGAGATATTTTTTGTGATCCCCGCAATGTAGGGTAAATTGATGGTTTTGAATGGCTCCTCAAGAGGGTCCTTCTTCATGGTTGGAGTGATAGCTTTGCGGATTGTGTAGTCGCAGTAACCATTAGCCTTGAGAGCTTGGTGTACGTGCTTGAGTTCACTGGCTATGTGTTCCTGGTCGGATAACCTTTACGCGATCTAACCCAGCAGAGGCCAGTGCAGTAACGAAAGCTTTAAATAAAAAAAATACATTGTCTGCATTTATTGCAGCTGACAGGACAGGTATTTACAAAAACGCATCGGTTACATTTGCTCGTACCGACGTTCAGTTCAGTTTATTTTGGTATAGCCCTGTGAGCCATTCGGCTCTTGAATCGGGTGCAACCACAACAAACAAAAAACAAAACAACAACAAGAAAAACATCTTAAAGTGACTATGTGACTGTGCAAACAGAAAATCCATGGAAAAACACAGCAAAAATATTCCTGAAAAAAGCACCATACACCAACGCTGTGTGCAAAAAATCCCAGTGGGATGCAAGTCAAACAACAACAACCACAAAAACTTAGATTAAGGCCATCAGTCTAACTTTGGTAAAGGTGTCAAATGTGAGTTCATGATGATTATATCGCATTGTACTCATGACAATTATTTACAGACTCGGAATACTGTTTTGATGTTTCCCCCACAACGGTTTTTTTATTTTACATTGGGATGCAAATAGCACGCAGAGCAGTTTAACACCTAGGCGACCATCCATAATATTGACGCGATCTAACCCCCCAAAAAAACCTTTACGCGATCTAACCCAAATAAACTTGTGAATAATATTTACGCGATATAACCCCCATACCCCCCCCCCACCCACCTGTATTATGAGCACGCAGAGCGTTCACCATGTGCGTGGGTCCTGTTTGGGGGTCATAGCTCGGGGCTGGCGCACGGCTGCCTGGAATCAATCCGTTGCTTCTCAGCCACTCAAACGCGACGTATCCGCTCACACAACCCCGTGCACCACTCGCACGTGCTGAACCGGGGGTCAGGGGTCAGAGGGCAATGACGTCACTCGTACATGCATAGCCGATTGGGGGGTTTGTCTCGGAGATTATTTAAAAGGCTGTATGAATAATCCCACGTGTACCCAAGCAAGTCCACCGTCGCTCACCGCGGGCACACGCTAAACAAAGGCTGTATGGATAATCTCACGTGTATGCCGCCCGTCTGCCTCACGCACACGTTAAACACAAGGGCGCATGAGAAACCTCACGAGCCCCTGTACGAGTCAGCCGCCACTCGCCATACGCACACGCTAACCATGAGCTACACGCAGGAGCGTGCGCAAACACGTGGGTAAATGCACACTCGTGCGCGAACACAGGGTACAGCGACGCAGGAACCCCGGTCGGGCGCGCACACAATGGCCGCCTCAACAGAGTTACCCACGTGCAAATCCCCGTACCACGACGAGCGGACTCACACCACCATGCGCCCGTTCCACACTCGCAGAAACCACACGACAAGGTTTATTGATCACTGACGATTTATTCCCGACGTGTCTGCGAGCTACCCGAGTCAGTCTGAGTAAGCAGGGCAGGTCTAACCTATCTCCCGATGGTCTAAACCCGATCTACCTCGTCCCCTTAGACTTAAACTCCCTAGGATCCTACGCTAAATCCCAACTTTCTCTTGCGTACTGGATGTGCGGGAAGCCGTAGAGAGGCGAGGCTACACGAAGTTCTCGCCGGGAGCGGTGCCTGGCTGCGCTGGAACTCGTCTCATGGACGATCCAGTGGCCGGCAAGGTGACTACTCTGATCCCCAACTTGAGAACAACATGACTACCTATCCCTATCTTCTCTCGCCTTTTATTATTCTCTACATCAAAGATAATTCGGTGTTGATCCACTGGCCTTCCCGGCCAATCAGGTGGCTCGTATTTCCCGCCACTCTCCCCGGACCGGTGCTCTCTCAAACGTCCGCACTTCACCTTCTACATCAAACGGGACGACCTCGGGGGCTGCTTCGTTGGTGCCCAAGCACATTTGTCCTACCAATCAGAGGACGGCCCTGTTTTCCCGCCGTTCGTGGCTCTACCCCCCTACCTGCCTGCTGACCCGTGTGTGTCGTGTTTTCTACCCGCGGTGGCTGAGCAGCCCCGTCGTGACCATGTAATTACAACCCAAGTCACGGCGCCGCGGTGCGAGTTAGTCTCGGGGGAGATCGCCCAATTCCCTGGCCGCAGGAAACCGTGAAGATTAGTCCCATGAGAGGGCTTCTGGGTGAAAACCTGTCGGCCAGGTGACTTCCCCTCGGGGCTCTATGTGGGGGGTGTGTGTGTTCATGTGGGAGGTGCTGAGGAGAGAGCAGCGTTGGCCCCGTCGCTCGGAGGTGGCGGTTTCGCAGCCACGGCGTCGGCAGAACGGCTTCGCTGCTGTGGCACCACATAGCCCCCCGAGGTGCCAGTCCCCATCCCGGGTTGACTGGAGCACCTCGCCTGGGTTGCCCCCACAAGGTAGCGCCGCGGGGTCCGCGGGACTCGCCCGGCCCTCGTGGCCGGCCTCGGGGGTGGTGGCTTCGTCTTCTGGAGTTCCGGCGGCGGTCTCCTCCTCCACTCCAACGGCTCCTCTCGTCCCTCAGCACCTGCAGGCTGCGGAACAAACTCGGAGGCAGCAGGGTTTAGGGGCCGTCGTCCCCACCCCCTCCGGCCCGGGCCGTGACCCCTCAGGGCCCGGGGCCCTGTAGGACCCATATACCGCGCAAGGCCCCCGAGCATGGGGGGTGTGGGGACCCCGGGATTTCGGGGTACCCGAACGGCGGGGTTCTCCATCGCCGGGGCTGCCCTCCATGGTTTTTGTCGGCGGACATTGACCACCATCTCTCGGCCCCTCTCTCCGCCCTGAATCAGCACCGTCCAGGGGGAGATCTGCCGCCCCACGGTCCAGGGTCCGCGCCAGTAGGTGGTCAGTTTCCCCACTTGTCCAGCCCTGACGCGAGGGGTGTGTAGCCACACCTTAGAGCCCGCCGAGTAGAAAGGGGGCTCCATACGGGGTCGGGCGCCCTGCTCTTGCCGCCGATGCGCGGCCTCCCTTTGCGGGTAGGCCTGGCCCCGGGCCCCTCGCAGAGTCTCCATCAGGTGCTCCACGGGGCGGCTCCCCTCCTCCCGTTGCGGTGGGGGAACACCGAACAACAGATCTGCGGGTAGACGAGACTCACGGCCAAACATCATTAGGAACGGGGTCTGTCCCATAGACGTGTGTACTGTGGTGGCGTAGGCGAACAGGGCATAGGGGAGGTGTTCGCCCCAGTCCTGCTGATTTGCGGCCGCCATGCGTTTGAGCTTCCCGGCTAGGGTCTGGTTCATACGCTCCACCATGCCGTTTGCCTGGGGGTGGTACGCCGTGGTTCAATCCTCCTGGATTCCGAACTCGGGGCACAGCGCCTGAAACAGCTCTGCCTCGAACTCACTACCTTTGTCAGTAATGCCTCGTTTGGAGATCCCGTGCTTGAGTACATAGTGCTCCACGAATGCCTGGGCCACCACAATGGCCGTCTTATCGGGTATGGCCGTCTTATCGGGTATGGCCACCGCCATGGGATAGCGTGTGAAATACTCCACCGCTACGAGGATAT